TTTTTTTTATAAATTTTTTAATTTTAATCCATGATTTATAGAAAGTTACAAACTATAAATTATTTAATAAAAACTTTAATATAACTTCACCTTTTATAAGAATGAAAACTCATCAGTAATACTTATAATTTTTACTTAATTAATAATATTTATCAAAATGAAAGACTTCTCTAAAGACTTAATTTGATTTTGGAAAAGTTATGTTTTCTTAAATAAATAATTTATACTTAAAATCAAGTATTATCTAAAGAATTGAATTGCTTAATTTTATTATAGGTTTTAAGGTACTAAAACAAATTCTGGCTAATAAGATTTCATTTATTTTTTAAATTATAATTCTTTAGGCAGCCTTTCAAATAAGAAAATATTTTAAATAAAGTAAGACTAATAAAGCTAATTATTAAAATTATTCACTCTTACTTTAATATTAATAAAAAAGATACAATATTTTAATAAATAATTTGTTATATATTAAAGAATTCTATTAATAAGCTTATATATTTAAAGCTAAAAAATATAAAAAAAATTTGTATCTATTAATTTTTTTTGAAATTAGTAATACTTGATAGATTAATTAAGAAATATTATTACTTATATTAATAATAAATTTTATGATAAAACATAATTCTTAATATATTTAAATATTATAGTTTATTTTTAAGTTAATTAAATTTTAAATATATTAAATGTCAATAAAAAAACTAATGTACAAATTATATATATATATTAACTAGCTTAACCTTGCTTAGCAAACTTTATTAAGATCAATATTTATATATAATCTGTTACAAAAGTCTTTGAACTGATCAGACAAATTTTAAAGTTGCACAGTTACACTGATTTGGATTGAAATTAAGTCAAAGTAGGCACGCTTGTGTACTTTTGGTTCGCCAATTATCTATCAGAATTTCAGTGAACTTCTATCGGTAGGTTTTTTTTTTATCTATATCACGAATGTCAAGCAACACAAAAATTACATATGCTAACATAATTTCAAGATTATAGGAAAATGGGATAAGAGAGGCTGCCGAAATATGGCAAATTACTAATATACTGAGATCAATCATTTTTTATAATCTTGCAAAGTTGTGCAGAACTGGAACCATGGCCCACGAAAAACGATCAGGTCATTCTAAAAAAATTAACAAGGGAGTTTCAAATTCGCTTGATCAGTATATTTCAAAGAATCCAACCATCTCCTCCAGGAAATTAGTAGGTGTAATGCTTTCAAAGGGGATTAGTGTGTCTTACAACACAATATTGCGGTATTTGGCTAGTCGTGGCTTTCGCAAGGAGCTCCTTATAGCAACACCAATGTTAACGTGAGCACAAAGAGAGAAACGCATGGAATGGGCAACGAAACATATTAACGATAATTGGAAGCACACATTTTTTTCAGACAAAACATCTGTTTGGCTCTTCAGCAACACTGTTCAGGTGTGGTTTAAAGATAAATGACCGTTTTATCATATCCCTAAGGACCGAACAAAAATTAATACATGGGGTGGGTTTTGCGCTACAGAAAAAACTAACCTTTATTACTTTAAAGAAATAATGACAGGGGAAATCTACATTGACATCATAGAAAAACATATTTTCCAGATCAAGGAGATGCTTGGGACTTGTTGATGCCTTCAGCAGGACAACGATCCCAAACATACAAGTCGGGTAGCGAAGAGTTTTTTAGAAGAAAATGTTCTGACTGTTATGGACTGACAATCCAAAGTCCTGATCTAAACCCCATAGAAAATCTATAGATGATTGTTAAGCGAAACGTGAAGATTCGACGACCGGGCGGTATTAGTCAATTGGTATGATACATGAAGAAGGAATGGGTGAAAATTCCATAAGATACTATCAAAAATTTGATAAGATCGATGAAGAGGAAATGCGAGCTTGTTATTGAGGCAGAGGGTAATAGGATTTCGTATTAAATTTTTTTAATGTAATCACTAAGGTTTTGACTATAAATAAAAAAAATTTCATATGACATGGCACAGTAGTTATTGCACAATTAATAAAAATGTTAGTCCAAAGACTTTTGTAACAGACTGTATATTTGTATATATAAATTATATTATAATATTAATTGATAAGTGTATGCTAAATTATATCGAGATTTCTTAAATATCAGCTATTACTATCAACTTTTGCTATTGGATAGAGATTGAAACTAATATGCCAAGACATTACTATTGTTAATGTCACTAGTATATAAATAAAAAAAATTGTTTCTTATTATTTTTTCATGTTTTTTATTCATTTTTTCAGCAATTTTCTCACCAGGTTCTTTTTTCTATTTGCTGTTGTTTCCTTTTTTCTTTGTTTCTTTTTATTTCTGTTTGATATATTTCATGTCTTCACTTTTTTTTATTCACTTTTCTGATATTGTTTATCTCTTTCCATTCTATGATTTCTTCATATCTTTTTTTCTATAGTTCATTAATTACTTTTGTTATTCTCTTTACAATTCTTCTATATACTTTTTTTGTTTTTTCTTTTGTAAACTAGTATATGTATCAAATTATTTCTTTGGTCAGAATTCTCTTCACAATATAGTTTCTTGTGCTCTTCAAGTTAGTAATTAATGACATTTTTGATTTTAAGTTTTCTTTTTTTTTTTCTTTGTTTTGGTTTTTTTGATATTCTTCTGTTTCTTCTTTTATTATCTTTTCTATTTATTTGTAATTTTATATTACCAATATTTGTATATCAAATGCTTTAGACTTTTTTTTTTCTTGCATTCTGGATATTTGTTTGATTTATAAATATTTGATCTTCTTTTTGCTAGCCTATCCACTATAAAGAGTTCACTATTTAATAATTTGTATCTAATTCTTCTGTATGTATGATCTTCTTGGCTTGTATACAATATATTATATATAAAATCATTTTTATTTTCCTTTATTATAATTGTTTTCAATTATTTTAAGATAATTTATTATTAGATTCTTTATCAAAATTAATCTAAAATTAACTATTATATTGAATTTTTGTTAAATTAATATATATGAATAAGTTTGCATTATTGTTTGTTATTTATTTTTTAATATGTATTTATTTGCTTAGAAAAGCTTGTTAATTTATATATATATTAAGAAATAGTATTTTATTATTTTAAAGTTTTTGTTTTCTGTTAATAATAATTAATATTAATAGATATAACTTTTTAATTAATTATCAATTTTTACTTATTTCTATATACAAAAAATCAAAATCAGTTTATCTTTATTAAAAAATTTACAATTTATAAAATATTAATTATATTTTGTACAATTTAATTATATCAAAATAATATAACAATTTATTGAATTGAAAGAGCATATAATTAGTATCCTGCATGAGTTTTAATAATTACAATTTATAATAATTTATCAAAACAAAATAATAAACATTTGAAATATATTTTAGTTATTTCACTATAACCTTACAATACAATCATATTACATAATAATAATATGTTACAAAAATTATCTAATCAAACCTATTAAGTTATATATAGCTTGCATGATATTAATATTTTAAACTACTTATTTTATATTTAGGAACTATATCTAATTTTTCGTTTGTTTTTTTTAGTAGATAGTTTCTTTTTTTTTAATCAAGATTTTTTTGAAAATATATCTACTACAATAGGTAATAGACTGATATGTATAGCCATAAATCTCATATCTTATTATTGATCATATAACATATAATATTTACTTTATCAATAAAAATTATGAGAAATGACTCATCTTAATATCAAAAAATAAAAAACAATAATTTATAATTTTAATTAATCATTAAAATTTTTTAAATTATTATATAATTTTCAAATCCCAATGTAATAATAATAGTCTCCTTTTGATAAGTTTAACAAATTTTTTTTAAGTCATTTCATTTTATATAAGAGTAATCGCGCGTAAACATGATTGATTATCTTGGATTTTAGTTAAATAAAAAATTTTTTAACAGACCCTATACAGTATGTAAAAAGATTCGATTATTGTTTTTTTTTAAAGAAAAGAGAAATACAGTATATTTCTTAATTTCAATATACAAAGTATATGATAGTTCAATTTTAATATAAAATAATAATATAAATAAATATATGCGGTTAAAATAAATAAATAATATCAACCAACGCATATAAATAACATACTGTATGTGTTAACCTCGAATTTAAACCATTATACATCGCTCGTGAAGTAGTTTCACAAGGAAACTCATAGCAGAGCCGTTCACTTGAACCGGTACCTATTTCTGCACGAAAAAGTATTTCGTGATAAATTATTTTCATTATTATAAAGGGAGAGAAAAAAAAGATTGTAAAAGGAAATTATTTCACGTTATTAAACATAAACGAAATTTTACCACTTATATCGATAGATCCGCAGTATTTAGTAAGAACGCACTGAGATTACCACGAGAAAGAGAAACCTTTATGTGCCTTTAATAATAGTATATTACGCCTACCTATTTAATTCTATATAATATATAATTCCGTTGCAAATCTGTTACCAAGTTTTCGTCCTAATCCTGGAAACTTTCTCACGCTTAATTAAATCCGACAATATTATTCTATTACCCTTGAAACCGCCTTAATCGTGCCCTCCTAATTTAGACTACGGCGCTAGGTCTCGCATCCGCGAACTGTGTCCTGCAGCACCGATCAGTGCGATCCTAGTGTGAGACTAAATATAGTGTTCCGCGGCCGTGATTATATGATGTGATTATGAAAACTCTTTTCTAGTAAGGCAATGCAGCAAGAAAGACCAATATTTAATTATCTTTTCGAGCTATTCAGTACTTTATTGAAAATGTTAATTCCGAATAGGAATCATGATTATTTACAACGTATATTTATGATCGAAAAAAAAAAAATTTTTTTTTTCATGGTTGTTTGAATAAAGATATGTCCGACATTTTACATGAAGTGTCTGAAGCAATAAAATTTTTAGAAATTTCCGGGAATTATCGCAGTAACGGATTCACGCTTTCCGGTTATGAGTAACTTTTTATTCTTCTTTCGATACCTTCTCTTCTGAGATAAAACCTTTTTTCGCAGCTAAAGATCTGCCTTTCTCAACGACACCTTTAGTGTGATGTTTAAGGGTTCCGGCAGCACTGTATAACAATATTTAAATTCGTCAAATGCGGAATAATTAAAACATTTTTGTTTGTTAATAAAAAAAGATCACTAACCGATCCCAGTTGGCATTAAAGATCTCTCGTGCTTTTCCAAGTTTCTCATCAACAAGTACATTGTGACGTTTGTATGCCGGAGGGATTGTAAACCCGAAAATAAGAGCTATCAGAGTAGGACGGGTTAGAAGATGCACGTTACATTCTTTCCATGGATTCTAGATTATCGATCGCATTATGTCAATGATAACAGCATTTGATGTCAAAATTTTATCTTACAAATACCTGATTTCTCCCGATTACTACACATGAAGTGTTCCTCCATAAATATAGTATAGTATTTGCTATGTTCGTATCTCTAAATAACCTTCACTTGATACCAAACAAAAAATAAGAAAAAGGGTGGACGTTTTATAATTTTTTAGAGCAAAGAAATACGAGACATTGAAATTTTACCACTCTTCGAAGGCAAGGTTCGCCCATGGATCTGTCAACTTCGAAACATAGCATTGGAACTTCTTTATTGATATATATCGTTTTATCACATACACTAGGTTATTACCAGATCTAGGAGGGAAAACGACAGTAAAAATATATCTACATTATCACTGAAATTAGGTTCGTGGACTTCATTCGAGTAAAGTCGCGAGATACATTTTGAGCTGGAACGGCCCGTGAGAGACCGTAATTTTGTTATTGACATCGAATGTCGATTACGTAATAGATAAAACCAGTTAAATATTAACTTATCGATCAAATCCGACTTACAGTATACAGTATATAGTGTTTAATAAAAAGTCACATTTCCAACACCAGACTATTATTAATTAATTAACGGTTCGAGTTAACGTGTCATCGTGTGATCCAGCAGAAAAATCACTTTTGGTCGTATAACAATTGCCTAACAACCGGTTTTTCTTTGTTTACGTTTATTGCAAGAAATAATGCCAATCGAGAATAAAGGAATGACGAAATCCGTCGTTCATTTTCGATCAGAGGACTCGATTACCACACGTAATTCTGAAGTTTCACCGAAACGAAGAATAGTGGCTTTGTCTTGTTGACATATGATAAAGAAAGAGAAATTTTTCAATGTTCTTTTTTCACCTTGTGCTGCATGCAGTTTTCTGCCTCAATTCCTGTCCGGTTTGTTTTCTTACCAAATCCTCATATGCCACGTCCCTCCATCTCAAATGAAAATTTTTTCCTGATAGGAAAAATTCTTTGTGCCAGATCAATTTGAGCAACATAGAGCATGTGAAGATATACAGGGTCCATTTCGACACACCACAATTTTTTTTTTTGGACGAAGGGTGAAATTGAGGTCAAATCAAGATTAAACAACGCTTTTAATTTTTCAGACAATGCGTGGAGATTTGTGATTATTCTTTTTGCTTATCATCATTTATCTTCCTCAGCGGAGGGTGAGGTGCGCGTCATATCATTAGTTGAAAAAGTTTTTAAAGCTTATTTACATCATTATTACTGCACCTGAAAGACGTACAATATAATGACATAAGTTACTTTATTAAGTAAGAGTATATCTCTTCATTATGCCATCAAGGAGTTGATCATAATAGTTACTAATATTTCCTCTTTAGTCCAAAATTTTCTCAATAAATCCTCGTATAGGCATTTCAAGGCATTTTTCATTCCTTCACTTTTCAATTAGGCACGAGTTACACTTCAAAAGTAAGTTCATATTTGGCGTTATTTTGTCTTGGGAAAAAAATGAAATCCAATAAAAAAATAATGAAAAAAAATAATATATATTGCCACCAAACTGTTTTTTCTCGCATTAAAAAATTTGAGAATACATTATTAAAACTTGAAGAAATCAAAATATCTTTAAATCGTATTGAAAAAAAAAATATACTGTTATAATTATAGCCATGTCGGAAACAGAATTTCAAGAAAAAAAAGTAGAAAATGTAACGTCTGATTCACCAGTTAGTGCTGATAGCCCAACGCTACCACTTCCCCCTCCGCAACAACCTTCTTCTGAGAATAATGAACTTAAAATAAAGCATACATCCAAGGAACCGCAAGAAAAGAGTGAAGAAACCAAGGCCTCATCAAAAAGAAGAAAGGAAGTTAACAGTATGCGATTCTCAATTTTTTTTATTAATTCTGCAGCATGATATAAGAAAGAAAAATCGCTGATTTTTTATCTCGTTACGTGATATTTAGATCCATTTGGATTTGTTGTCCCCCGAGGTAAACTTTATCGCATCCATCAGATCTTGAAATATCTTGCATCGTGACAAAATTTTTAATAATAAAATAATAATAATAAAACAGCGAGAAGTTATGTTCATTGGGAAGATCCAACGTATTCAGGAGCAGTTCTAGGGTTGGGTCTATTACTTGTTATCTTTACCTCTCAAGTTTCTTTGTTCAACACCTTCTGTGCATTGGCCGTTATCGTGTTGTCCGCAAATTGGATATATGTACTAGGCAGGAAACAATTCCAGGTTCTACTCAACAAAGAGAATGTCAGTCCATATGAGTAAGTAAATGTGATGTGATTATATAGCATTGAATAATTAATTATTCTTATGCGATATATCCGTTTATCCTTAGACATTGGTTTGAGGAAAAACCGTGGTACATTGAACGTTCTACAGTTGAAAAATATCTTGATACAGCTGTTGAGGGTATCAACTTTATACTACAAGAAAGTCAAAAGATCGTTCTAGTTGACGATCCAATGAGAACTCTAAAGGTATATTTTTGTTCATTTCATTGTTAGCTAAACGTACTGAGCTTATGTTTTTCATTATCTTGTTATAAATAGTATATCTTTTTGTTCTACCTTGCATGGACAGTCGGAGGATGGTTTAGTCTCCACACCATAACAGCGATTGGTAATTTTATCATTAGAATTTCAATTTGTGTGAAGTTTTCATTATAACTTATCTTCTAACCCGCCCGACTCTGATAGCTCTTATTTTCGGGTTTACTATCCCTCCGGCATACCAACGTCACAATGTACTTGTTGATGAGAAACTTGGAAAAGCACGAGAGATCTTTAATGCCAACTGGGAACGGTTAGTGATCTTTTTTTATTAATAAAAATGTTTAATCATTCCGCATTTGACTAATTTAAATATTGTTATACAGTGCTACCGGAACCCTTAAACATCATACTAAAGGTGCCGTTGAGAAAGGCAGATCTTTCGCTGCTGAAAAAGGTTGGGTCTCAAAGGACGTATCGAAAGAAGAATAAAAAGTTATCCATGACCGGAAAGCGTGAATCCGTTACGGCGGAAATTCCTGAAATTTATAAAAATTTATTGCTTCAGACACTTCATGTAAAATGTCGGACATATCTTTATTCAAACGACCATGAAATAAATATACGTTGTAAATAATCATGATTCCTATTCGGAATTAACATTTTCAATAAAGTACTGAATAGCTCGAAAAGATAATTAAATATTGGTCTTTCTTGTTGCATTGTCATACTGGAAAAAGGCTTTTCATAATTACATCATATGACCTCGGCCGCGGAACACTATATTTGGTCACACACTACGATCACGCTGATCGGTGCCGCAAGACACGGTTCGCGGATGCGAGACCTAGCGCCGTAGTCTTAATTAGGAGGGCATGGTCAAGGCGGTTTCAAGGGTAATAGAGTAATATTGTCGGATTTAATTAAGCGTGAGAAAGTTACCAGGATTAGGTCGAAAACTTGATAACAGACTTGCAACGGAATTATATATTATATAAAATTAAATAGATGGGCGTAATATGCTATTATTAAAGACATCTTATACACACACTTTCTCTTTCTCGTGGTAATCTCATAGTGCGTTCTTACTGAATGCTGCGGATCTAACGATATACAGTAAGTGATAAATTTTCGTTTATGTTTAATAACGTGAAATAAATTCCTTTTACAATCTTTTTTTTCTCTTCCTTTATAATAATGAAAATAATTTATCACGAAATTTTTTACCGTGCAGAAATAGGTACCGGTTCAAGTGAACGGTTCTACTATGTTTCCTTGTGAATCTACTTCACGAGCGATGGTAATGGTTTAATTCGAGGTTAACAAATACTGTATGTTGTTTCTTATTTCGATGCATTGGTTGATATTATTTATTTTAACCGCATATATTTATATATGACAAAATGCAATATATTATTATTTTATAAAATTTTAAATATTAAAATTAAACTATTCACGGTATTGTATATTAAATTAAGAAATTGAGTTATTATCATTTTTATATACTGTACATAGTCTGTTAAAAAAAAAAATTTTTTTTTTTTTAATTAAATGACATAAAAAAACACTGCTAAAAATTATCAAAAAATATTATTAAATTAAAGATTTGAAAATAAGTAATAATTTAAAAAATCAATGATTTTGATTTTACTAATAATTAAGAAAAGTTATAAATTATTTTTAGATTGTTTTTAATATCTTGCATATATAACTTTTATAAATTTTTAGATATTAAAAAATAATAATTATAATTATAATAATTTAAAATTAATTTAATAATAACTTTTTTAACCCTATAAATTATTTTTTTTAACAAAGTTATAATAATTTTTGATTTTAGTTTTTTTTATTTTTTTATTATATATATTTTGTTTAAAAAGTTTTTGACCAAATATTTTTTATAATAAATAAATTATTTATTTATATAATTGATATATTGAAAAAACTTTAAAAATATTTTTTTAAAATATAAAAGTTTTTTTTTTAATACTTTAATAATAAATTTATCTTAAATTTAAATTTTTAATACTTTATATACTGTAAAAGAGTTTACATTTTAAATGAAATATATTTTTAGAAGATAAAAATTTTATTAATAATTTAAATTATCTAATTAAAGTTTAATTTTGATTGCTACTTATAAAAAAAATTATATAAAAAATTATTATAGAAATTAATTTTAATTATTTTAATTATCTGTTATTATTAATTCTTAGAATATATTATTAGTATAATATAATTTTATTATTATTATTATATATGACTCTAATATTTTACTTGAATTTTAATTTAATATTATATTAATACTTGCTAAACTTGCTTAACTTAATAATTTTTATTTAATTTTTTATTAGCTATAACCAATAACTTTATTTTATTTGATTTATAGTGGTATTATAAAGTTTTAAAAAAATTTTTGAGTAACAATTATCTAACATAATTTCGTAACCACAAAAGATAAGTGAATTTTCAACAAATATAATAATATTTTTTTTATTTAACAATAATCTACCCATTCCTATCCTCTTATATATAATGTCTTTGGCAAGAAATAATGATATAAAATAGTCTTTTTAACAAAAAACCAGTAATGTGAAGCAATTTGTCTTTTGTGAAGTAAAGGCATTTGCTTCACAAGAGAAATTCAATAATATACAAACATTAATCTCTTTATAATTTATTACAACCTAAAAAAATTAAAAGAGACAAGTAATATGGCTTGGCAAAGGATCTCAATTATCCAAAAAAAATCAATTCAAGTATAATACATGCAATCAGTCAGTTTATTAAACAAACACCTACAATATTAGTAAGTGAGTTGATAAGTAAACTTTTAGAAAAAAGTATAATACTTGGAAAAGAAATGGTTTGAAAGCACCTTTTGGCCAATGGTTACAAGAATTCCCTTCTCCTCGCAATATCTATACTTACAAAGAAGCATAAAAAGAAGTGAATTGAATAGACCCAAGAATATCTTCATAATAATTGGTTCTGCACCTTTTTTTTTAACGAAACTTTATTCCAACTGTTTAAGAACATTATTACTCAGTAATACAAAAACAGTCATCCAGTCCATCGCATTTCTAAAAACTGACAAAAAATTCATATGTGAGATGCATTTAGTCTGCAGGATAAGATTAGCATTTATTGTTTTGTATAAAAAATAGATGCTGTGTTCTATATTGAAATTCTAAAAAACCAAATTCCAGAGATTAAAAAAATAATGAATAATGATTGACAGCTTCAGCAGAATAATGATCCTAAGCATACAAGCCACCTAGTCAAAGATTTTCTCAATAAAATGATTCTGTGCCTTATCAATTGGCTGTCGAACAATTCAAACCTTAATCCCATTAAAAATTTATAAGAATTATTAAAAAAATTTTAGAAAAACAAAAACCAAAAAATTTAGATGAATTACAAAAGTTTATGGTCAAAGAATGGAGAAAAGTTCCAAAAAATACCTATAAAAATTTAATTAACTTGATACAAGAGAGATATAGAGTGATAATTGACACAAATAGTAAAAGAATTAACTATTAACAATACCTGTCATTTAATTTCATGGTTCTAATAAATCAAATAAATCATATTATGTTATTATTAAATTATTGGCTATTGTGCAAATGATTATCAAAAAATTTTTAAAATTTTATGGTACCACTATATATATTTAAGTTTTATAAAATACCAATATTAAAATATATCTCAAAATATCAAATTGAAATATATTGACTTAAAATTTATCTTTTTTAAATTGTATTATATAATCTATTATATTAATTTAAATTTGTAAGGTTTTTATTACAATTAAATTAAGTTTACTTTTAGATAATTTTTTTGTTTTAATTTGTTTTCAATTTTACAATTGTTAGAAAAATTAAAAATTTTATTTTATATAACTTTATTAAATTTTAAAAAAAATCTAATTAATTAAATATAATATATATTGAAAATTAATTAATTAATCTTAATACAGTAGATAGACAAAAGTATTCGGACACATAATTTGTAATACAATAATACAATAACTAATGAAAAAGTTTAATTTAATGTTCTAAGTAAAATAATTTAATACATT